TCAAAGAAGAGAGAGTCAAAGTATTCTCCAAAGCACTTAACGGTAGGATAAGAAGCAATGGGTGGAAACTAATCAAGGAGAGAAACAACCTAGAACTAAGGAGAAATTTCCTGACAGTTAGAACAATTAATCAATGGAACAACTTGCCTCCAGAAGTTGTAAATGCTCCAACACTGGAAGTTTTTAAGAAGAGATTAGATAACCATTTGTCTGAAGTGGTGTAGGGTTTCCTGCCTGAGCAGGGGATAAGACTAGAAGACCTCCAAGTCCCTTTCTATTCTGTTCTGTTCTACTCTACCCTAATGACCCTTGGAGCCCAAATTGATTCTGAAAATGCATTCCCTAGATATATAAATATAAAATATATTTATTTGTTAAACAAATCTGTATGGCTGTTCAAACTCACAAATCGGTGACTCCGGCAGTGTACAACATTAAAAATAAACCCTCCCACCCCCACGGTAACAGCAGGTAGTATGTACCTGTTATAGCTAATAGAGAAGAAAGAATAATCTATCACAAAGATTTAAATGCTTCAGATTATTACAGAAGGTCTACAGGATTAACCAACAAAATTCAAGAAAACAGCCATAATAGGAAATTCTAGAGCCAAGCATCACACAATTGTGGCTGACAGCAAAGAGCGGCCCCAAAAGATTATTTCATGTGACAATAGTGGCAACAGAGGAAGTATTATCAGATGTAGGAAAAAGCTCAAAGGAGAGTTTAAAAATTAAATCATCTCCTTTTAGTGACACAAATTCCATTTTAAAATAGGAAGCAACAAGCACTATATTTATCAGATTAGACATACTTGAGAAGGGGAAAAAAGGCTTCCAAAACGGAATGTCTACTTTTGCTTTTTGTTTTTTGAATGGGGAGAATTTTCAAGGGAGGAAAGATATGCAGTTGAGAGTAATAAGAGCTAAAAGTCTGGACCTTGAACAGAGAAGCTGATACTGAACACTGAATCATCTTCAGCTTCAATTTCATGGCTACTAAGAATAGTCTTATGTATTATTAAGCACTTTAAGCTATGCTAAAACACTATTCATGTCATCCGGTCTAGCTTTATTTGCTCATTCCCATTTTGTAGAAGAGGGCAGCTGACAAGGCCCCAGCATGCAAGAATGTGTGACAGGACCCAAGAAGTACTCTTCAGGCCTCGTCTAAATATGACCTGCAGTTTACTGGTAAACATGACAAAGGAGGTTTTCCCTCTGCTTGATTAATAAGGGAAACAGAGAGACAGAATGGAAAGAATATCCCTGTAAAATGGAAACCTCTTGTGGAAAACCTTCAAGGATCCTGGGAAGGAGGCTGCCTTTATGTGCCTCTCACACCCCCAGCAATTCCCAGCAAGTCTAAAATGTATTATCTTAACACACAATATTTTTATCTAGTTCGCATCCCTGTTTGATTTTGTTTTGCATGATTCTTCACCCACTCTAACCAAAGACTGAGAATGAAAGGACTGACCTAAAGAGGCAAAATATATTTATAAAATGAGATTGTGCATGCAAAGGCAATGGAACAACAGGGAAAAAACCATCAAGGCTTATGTATTTCATGCAAGATAAAACAGGAGAAACATGCGCTAGCTTAAGATAGAAATAAGGAAGATGATTTAACCACAATAAACCAAGCAAAGTTGTGAGTCTTTGAAAATAAAAACATGAATTATTTACCAGAATACATGTATTCAAGAAAGGAAAAAAAAGAAAGGGGGGAACTCTTGGTCCAAAGTGTGTTGATGGAAGCTAATACAATAGATTCTCTCCTACCTGACTGTCATAGATGGTGAGGTACCCGAAGTGATAGTCCTCTCCTTCTCCTGCCAGATGTCCTCCCCATCAGAGCCATCAGCCTCTTCATCATCATCAAATTGCTGAATTCGCTCTTTGTAGCAGATGTCAAAAAGGTTGGCATTGGGCTACAGAGGATTGGAGAGCAGAGACAGATCAGAGCAGTGGCCAAATTTAAAAGGATAATAGATAGTTGTCTTTGTTGCTGTCCTCACGTTAATGGCCATCTATTAAATGACTATTTGAAGTTACGATGGTGCTGCACAAATGGCAGTTATGACCCATCTTCAAAGTTACAGTCGTTGAAACCCTCCCCACCTCCAAATCACTGAATCATTGCTGCCTTTTTCTGTGACCTTGGCTGATGTTTGCCATCCTCTTCCTCCCGCTGCTGGTAAGGCCCTGAACAATGCAGATAGCCATCACCATCATCTGTGCAACCGCTGCCTGTGCTGCCACCCTGCCTCTTAGTCCTGATATCTTTTCCCCAGCTGGGCCCAGTGAGCAACCTTCTTCAGCAGATGAGACTCCAATGCCTCAGGACCAGACGTGTTCCAAGATCATGCCTTCACACAGTGAATGGATCCTGGACCAGCAGTGGGAGGAGCAAGACAGCACAGGTCAGCTGGGGATGGCAGGCGGTAGAACACCTGGAGGAGTGCAAGGCGGCCAAAAGGACAGAGATAAGGGGGAGACAGGTAAGGGATGGGAGTTCAACACGAGCGCAGCTGAGTAGTGTAGTCTCACCTGCCAAAGGGAGCTACCCAGAACCATTTAGGGAGGAACCAATGGGACAGAAAATTTGCGCATGGCAGGAGAACTGTGAGGTCATAGTTGTCCCAAAGATATTTATTTCAAGAGGCAGCTGGACTTTCTTGTTTTTTCTTTGAAGACATTTCATCCAAGAAGCTTCTTCAGCTCTGACTGGATGGAGGTGATTGGGAGGATTTATATTCCTTGCAGTCACCTGGTCATTTGCATTCTTTTAAATAGGTTTATCTGGGTCCTTATAGTCACCTGAGTAGTGGAAATGGGTGTGGACAAGAAAGTCCAGCTACCTCCTAAAAAAGCACCTTTGGGACAACCATGACCTCGATGACTGAGAATCTCCATAAACCATGAAGTCTTTGCTTAATGACTGCAATCGGGATTGTTGTTGCTGAGCAGCGAAGTCACATTGATATGATATTTCATCTAACAACGACTTCGTTTAGCAATGGAAATCCCAATCCAAATTAGGCTTGTTAGGGGAGGACAATGTGCATGTTTTTATCCTGCCTTTTTAAATTTAAAGACAAAGTGGCAAATGTGTGTAATATTCATTCCTCCTGTTTTCCACCTCAACAACAACCCTGTGAGGTAGGTCAAGGAATGACACTTACACTGTCATCATTTGCATTCAGTGAGAAGGTGATGTTGGCCGTTTTGTCAAAGGGAGCACTGAAACAATAACAAAAAAGTGAAAACCATGGTGAAGATCAGAAATCAGGATTACACTGTAAAATGGGAGCAGCACAAGTCTAAGTTTGGGGGGGAAAGAATGGAAGAAGGGTTCGTGTGCTGTGCTCAAATGGGAATTTGTCCCCCTTCTTTTTCCTAAAATCTTTACTAAAATTCCCGTTTCCAAAGTACTTTAGGGAGAGTTGAAACCATTCTACATAAATCAGTAGTAACTATCTCTGTAATGCAAAGGAAACAAAGTATCCTGTCCAAGGTCACTAAAACAATACAGCTAATAGAAAAGGGATAGTTTTCAATTTAGATTGTGATTTCATCTTAGCTACATTTCTGCTATGTGGATTCTTTCTGCTACTCCTAATATCAGCATTCAATGGACAGAGTCTCCCACCCCAGGCAGGATTCTCATATATTTTGCTGTCATTTCAGAAAACTCTTTCTTGTTAATGTATTGTCTGTCTTCCTGCAACAAATTTAAACTGACAGCCCCTTTTCCATATGGGCCACAGATTTACAGGAGTGTTTTTAGTTTTTCATTTTCTATATGGAGTTTTCAGTGCTACACAATGCATTTCAAACGCTGTTTACCAACTGCCTTGCACTAGGCTCAATTTTTATTCTTTATTTTCGATGTATATACATTAAAAAGAGTTTATTATGTTAGCTTTATTTTAGAATTGTGCATTGACTTGTGAAGGCTATTGCTTATATTAAGAAACATTTTAATAAAGTAATGATGAAGTCTCCTTTGAGTTGAGGAATGGATATGATTGACCACTACGTTCTTCTGGAAGCTCTTTTTTTTTTTTTACTTCACTAGTCTAAATTCTGGAATTTCCTTGTGGTCTCTCATTTAACCACGTCTGACCCTGCATAGCTTATTGAGAGAAGCCAAGGTTAGCATAGTGCGACCACCTGTCATTGAAATGGAAGCTGTTCAACAGATGCCACAGAACAGAGTCATACACAAGCCCTAAGAAAGTGGCTACTGAGCGCAAACCATGTTCTGTCTTGTCTGAAAAGCATTTGAACCAGCTTTCCAAGTCACATACCAACCACTGCTACATTTTGATCAGTTTAATTTAATTTCTCAAGAAGCAGATGGAAATGCCCCAAGATATTGCAAAGCCTGGTATCTGTGTAAACTACTTCTGAGCTTTCATATACCGATTCCCCAGATGAAATCTTTGTATTTGTTTGAGTTGATGCGTATATGGAGATGGTATGTGTGTGTGCATGTGTGAGTGTGTGTATGTATGTGGTGTGTACATATATAGTATATCAAAAGTAAATACATCCCCTCACATTTTGTAAATATTGAAGTATATTTTTTCATGTGACAACACTGAAGAAATGACACTTGGCTACAATGTAAAGTAGTGAGTATACAGCTTGCATAACAGTGCAAACGTGCTGACCCCTCAAAATATTGAGCCCTGTATGGTTGGAGCACTGACAGACTGACCCTCCTCCCCCTTCAACCTCTGCAGCAATGCTAGCAACACTCACACAACTATTTCCCAAAGCCAACCTCTGGATATGACGCTGAGCATGGGCACTCAACTTCTTGGGTCGACCACAGCAAGGCCTCTTCTGAGAGGAACCTGCCCTGTTAAACTGCTATAGGGTCTTGGCCACCGTGCTGCAGCTCAGTTTCAGGGTCTTGGCAATCTTCTTATAGCCTAGGCCAGTGATAGCTTTCTAGGAACCTGAGGAGGGCAAACCCCCACCTCCCCCAGGGAGGAAAGCGGCCCAACACACAAACTGGAAGTACGTTCCCAAACAAAGCCATTTGTTAGGGCAACGCCTCGTGTGCCCTAACAAATGGCTCTGTGTGTCATCCGTGGCATGCGTGCCATAGTTCGCCATCACGTGCCTAGGCCATGTTTATGAAGAGCAACAATTCGTTTTTTTCAGATCCTCAGAGAGTTCATTGCCATGAGGTGCCATGTTGAACTTCCAGTGACCAGTATGAGAGTGAGAGTGATAACACAAAATTTAACACACCTGCTCTCCCTTCACACCTGAGACCTTGTAACTCTAACAAGTCATGTGACACCAGGGAGGGAAAACGGTTATTTGGGTCCCATTTGGACATTGTCACTTAGGAGTGTACTCACTTTTGTTGCCAGCAGTTATTTTGAAGGGATAGCACATTTACACTGTTATATAAGCTGAATAATTACTACTTTATATTGTAGCTAAGTGTCATTTCTTCAGTGTTGTTACATGAAAAGATAAATATTTACAAAATGTGAGGGGGTGTATTCACTTCTGTGATATACTGTACACACACACACACAAACACACACACACACACACACACACTTTCCTATACACGTATGTGTGTGTTTGGTTGGCCTTATCTTTGTATTTAAAAAAGAGCAGCGCATTAGGCATTTACCTTTTCAAGCGTTGAAAGTGAGCGCTGCAGGCCACATAGGCAGAAAAAGAGAATGAAAAAGGAGAGAAAGAGAGGCAGACACATGAGGTCAGGAGGCTTGGAGAAAGGGAAACAAACTGCCTGGAGATAGATTGAGGTGCCTGCCAATAACGTCTCCAACTCCCCTCCCCTTTCAATAATTAGGTCACCCAGGTCAAACATCCTGCTGGAACTGCCTTAACAAAACAGACTGGCAAAATGACAGCCTTGGCTAAGAACATCAAATATTTAGTTGCTAATAAGACTTGAGAAATCAAGACAACCTCCTCTTTTTCCAGGCAAAGCTCTGTCATTTAGCAAGCTGAGCAAAGCAAGCTAGGATTCAAAGCCTCTGGGATGGAGGCTTCAATTCAATAAAATCAAATTTCCAAAAATCAAATCATCCTGGCTTCCAAAACTTTAAAGGAAACCTCTCTGCCTGCTTGTGGACTTTCTCAAAGCAATTATCTGCCCATAGGATGCTGGACTAGGAAAGTCTTTGGTCTATTCAAATAAAGCTCCTGTTATGTTCTTATAAGACATAAATAAAACATATTCCCCCTTTCAGAATGGTCAAGAAACACGAAGATTTCATGAAATGGAATCCTGTCTGTGCAAAGGCAAAAATAGAAGCATCACTACTCTTATAATCTAAATCCTCTCACATTCTCAAAAGAAGCCAAGCAAATACTAGCTTATGGGTTGCAATGAGGTGGAATGGACACCGAGGTAGCTTTCCCCAGATAAGATTTTCCCAGACATTTTTTTTATCTAACTGCTATTATTATTATTAGGGTGCTAGGCTTCTGGTTGAAACGACAGCAGTTCCAGGTTTGGGGACCCAAGGACCATGTGACAGGATGAGCTTCTGTCCTCGCCTCAGCTCTTGCCAACCTAGCAGTTTAAAAGCATGCAAATATGAGTAGATAAATAGGTACTACTTCAGAGCAAAAAAATAAAATAAAATTCTGTGACATCATGCTGGCCACATGACTGAGGAAATGTCGTTGGTCAGCACTGGCTCAATGTCTTTGAAATGGAAAGGAGCATCACCCCCTGTAGTCGACGTCTAGCAGAGTAAACATTAGTACACTAAAATCTGCAGGAATTCCTTTATTTTTTTTAAAAAACACATACCTGTGTAGTCTTCAATGGGTGAAGTCTACAATAAAATGAAATTATAGGCCCTATGGTTCCCAGCATGCCAGTTGGGACACAGGTTCCAAGAAAGGCATCTTCTTTGGCATACAATAAGCTCTTTGCTCTGTCAGGCTTTTAAATGGAATGTTAAAGAATTCATTTAATTTAAAAAAAATGTTACAAAGCAAAGTGCCGGTTGTGAGCATTCACTATTTCCATGAATGTGTCTGGATCACAAATTGATTCCATGACTTAAATCCGTATTCTGTAAATAATTATGCTCTCCTGTGACTATTTTGGGACTGGGATAACTCATCTCCAGCAACATATTCTTAAAATGGCCTTTGCAAGTCCAAAAAGGCTGGGGATCCAGTTATAGCTCAAAATGTCAGGATGGTCCAGACAAGGATTGCTGATCTAACACCTCCAATGGGTTATTTACTGGGACCAATGACCAAATAAGCAAGATGCAAGACTATGCATCTTTGTAATTCTATGACAAATGGCCAGGCACAAGCACATGCAAATCAAATGCTCCTAAAATGGATTCAATGAATAATCTAATTCTCATAAATGAATTTACAACTGAATTATAGGAAGCTATAATCAGCAGAGATTAAGACCAGGCAGATGTCCCTTTGCATACGCACACCAAAGGAACAGAATTTAATATGTGGGGCTTTAGAAACCCTTAGTCTTGCTTCTGCATCCTGCTTAAAAGCATGCTTCCTTTCCAGAGTAGACAAAAATCAGCAGTGCCATGCTATTGTCCTCACAGGAGGCAATTCTCAGCCACCAAAGAGCATGTTAAAAGAAGCCTAGAAACAGGGCATGGAGAAAGGCAAGGGAGAATGTGAGCACATCACTAACTTGACATTCTCTTCCTGCTCGCCAAATTCTTCATCATGAAAACCAAAGTGGTCAATGAATGAAGTCATCTGTTGCATTTGGTAACCTACGAAAGCCTATAATAAAAAAGTAATAATAGGAAATAAAGGTGAATGATAAATAGTTCAAAAGGGAACAGCGGTGTGAGAATTTTATTAATTAAATTTATATAGCCAGTTGCAAGTCAAAACAGATGATTATACTATGATTTTCTACATGCCCAGAATCTGAACATATGCAATTACTATATTAAAGAACAGAATACCAAGATTCTGTATCCATTGCCTCCAAATAGGGGTGGTGATTATGCTGAGAAAAGTGGGAAGCAGGATAAATATCTTTTTCCAGAAAGTTTCTGCTGGAATATATATTGCTGTCTCCAAGGTGGGCACTACTGCTTATGTAAGCATTCTACTTTCATAACACAGATGGAACATTCCTCTG